TCTCTCTCTCTCTCTCTCTCTCTCTCTCTCTCTCTCTCTCTCTCTCTCTCTCTCTCTCTCTCTCTCTCTCTCTCTCTCTCTCTCTCTCTCAGACTTAATATCCCCCCTCTTTATCTCTCGTTTCACTCTATGCCCCTCTCTCTTTCCCTTTATCTCCATCCTCTACACCCCTTCTTGCATTCCTTGTCTTCCCTTAACGCTTTCTGTATGCTTCCCTTAACACTTTCCGTATGCTTCCCTTTTTTTGGGGGGCATGCTAGGTTTGGGCTCTCGACCTTCAGATTTCTATTTCTGCAGTTGATCCTTTTTGGATGTTCCTGAGGCTATTTGTCATCCAAATGAATGGATGCATTTGCCTCGACTTGCATGATTCGTTCATGTGATCAAAAAAAGAAGAAAAAGGAAAGAAAGCAATCCATGATTCCATGGCCCTAACAAAGGTATACAGGACTCTCCCCTCTCCTGATTCCTTTCCCATGGCCCTTTCAGGACCATGACCCTTCCAGGCTGGAAGAGAGGGGAAGAGGGAAGCAGACAAAGAGAAGAGGAGAGAGAAGGCTGGTGTGTACTTGGATGAAACTGCATGTCTGGGTTGCATTCTCGACCTTATTCAATAGACCTGAACCTGTACCTACCCCTCGTTGCTGGACCTGGATCTGAACCTGCAACTTGTTCATGGACGAGGATCTGTATCTGTATCATCTGCACCTGACTCCTTCTTTTTGTATCGTTCCTTTGAACTGGATCTGTATATAGCCCGCTCCAATGGATTTTGCACTGTCTGACCTGCATCTGTATAGCCTGGTCCAATCAATTGGACGTGGACCTGTACGTGCCCCTTATTTCTGGACCTGGATCTGAAGATTCTGAACCTGGAACTCATTTATGAACGTGGCTCTATTTCTGCACCGTCTGCATCTGTGTTTACATTTTTTATTGTTCCTTGCACCTGGGTCTGTATCTGTACGCTGTTCATGCAGGGCACTGCCCAGTTCCAGCCATTCGCTGCATCTTTGTCGGTTCATCTGGTCGAGTGCAGTCCGGCGCTACGCCAACTTCAGTGGAAGGCAATGCGGTGCAGTGCAAATTCACTGACGTCAGACGGATCCACATCAGGCAGCACTGACACATCGCAGGAGTCCTCCACAGTGCAAAGGGATCCTGTACCTGTTCAACAAGCTGGGATAAGTGCAATCTCTCAAGTGCCTGTGTCTTGGCATCTACAACTGGAAGACATTCCAAGAGGAGGTAAGTTACGCGGAAAAAATAAATAAAAAGAGGGAAAGGAGAGAGACTCTGAGAGAGGTGGTTACCTATTTTTCTCCATTCACATTATCTGAATGTTGATGTCCAAATCTGGACCTCAACTGCCACATCTGGACCTGAACCGCCAAATCTGGACCGTCCTGATTGTGAGCAGGACCATTGCGGGAAGCCAGGGTCGGAATCCCCTACGATCTTCCCTTGAATAGAATACCCAGTAATTGTTGCTGTACCTAGACTGAAAGCTGCACCAAATACAGCTATTATGGCCGGGCGTTCTGTTTGGGTGAAGACGGTAGGGTTTTGGGACCAGTGTTTGGGACCCTGCACAGCTCGAAAAAATGATCCTGTAGCTTGTTGACCGGCGCAGTGAAGAACTGAGAAAAAATGATAAAAAATCATTTAAAAATGATAAAAAATGATTAAAAAATGATAAAAAATCTAGGCTACCAGAGTGGCCCGGTGTCACTTGCCCGGCCGGGCCAAAAAAATAAAAATAAAAAAATGATTTTTAGTTTTTAATTTTTATTTTAATTTTGGTGAAGAATTTCGATGTGACCCTGAGGCAAAAGTTGTTCAATTTATTTTTCTGCATAACATAGTTTTTTTTCGGATTTTTTGGATGTTTTTTTTTTTTTTTTTTTTTGCTGGGACCTCCTTGCACGGGCTGGCCACCCGGGACCCGGGCGGCCCGGCTGGTAGCCTAGTAAAAAATGATAAAAAATGATAAAAAATGATAAAAAATGATAAGAAATGATTGAAAAATCTGCATTTGCCAGTTCGCCGTTTCCTGAGAAACGTTCTTAGAAATTTGCTGTCTTTGATCTGTTTGCTTAATTTTGCTGAGATTTCCGAGTCTGAGTCAGACTTCTTTTTTTATCTTTTTTTCCCTTTTCTGTTCCCTGTTTTATCCCTTCTCTCTTTTGAAAAGAGAGATCATCATCGAACTGACCTCCCCTAGGTAGTTTATAATTGTAGTATTTCTACTATTTCAAAATAATATAACCTCAAAATAATATAACCAGAAAAGGCAACAAAGAAAAACCCACAAACGCAGTAAGCAGCAAGCCAAAAGCAAGGGAGGCAAAGTGTTGAACCACAAGCGGGAGGAAAGCACAAAGGCTGGAGGGCACGGGGAGGTGTGTGGGCGGACAAGCAGCATGCAGTGAGCCAAACAACACACTAGGCAACAAAGCACATAGGGTGGAGGGCATGGGGCCGGTGGGTGGGCAGGCAAACAGCTCAAGGCAGCAAAGCACATAGGGTGGAGGGCATGGGGGAGGTGGGTGGGCAGGCAAACAGCACAAGGCAAGGCATTCTTTTTTTTCTAATCAAAATATTATCGAAAACTAACTGATGCTTGCCAAACGAATGCAAGTAAAGCACATAGGGTGTGGAAGGCATGAGGGAGGTGGGTCGGCAGTCAAATAGCAAAAGGCCGTGAGGGAAACAACGGCGAGGCAAACAACAGCAAGGCAAATGCAGCAACCAAAATAAATACAAGTATGTCAATATGACAAAAAGACAAAGACTGAAAAGAGAAGAAAAAAAAAGAAGTGATGATGATAGATTGTTTAGTCGGAGTTGCACGGACTCGTCAGGAGGCTGAACCCTCGCCAATCTGTGAAGGTTTATGTTTGGCCATGGTTTGGATCTTGGATTTGTGCATGGTAATTAATAGTAATTTAATATTAAGAACTAATATAGTAGCAGTAACAAGCCTTTTTTTCTTTTCGTTTTTTCAAGAAGCTGATCTGTTATCGTTGCCTTTCTTTGCGTGTTTGCAGACCCAGCTATTGTTATTGCGCATGAATTCTTCGATGCACTGCCTGTTCATCAATTTCAGGCAAGGATGGGTGTCTTTTTTTTTTTTTTTTTTTTTTTTTTTTGAAGCCCAGGGTGTTGTAGAGGCCAAGGACCAGACACATGGTGATTGCTGGCAGCGGGCAACCAATGGTTGTCCTGGCAGGTGAGGCCACCTCCCAACCCATCCTCACGTCAATACTCCTAGCGCAACCCCTATCCCTACTATCCTACCTCCGTGTGGCCAGCACCAGGACCATCACCCCACCAGTATCGAGGGCAGCTTGGACCGAATAGCAGTGACAAGCAGGATGGATGTCGGGACAGATGGAGGTGGGGGGTATGGAGGTGGAGTCGAGGCCGCTGGGGGTGGAGAATTTGAAGCAATTTAGGGGGACAGCAGAGGGAAACCTCCTGGTGGGCCAGACGATAGACACTGACCCCTTCCAGGCGGCTTTTGATTCGGAACCGATGGATGTTGACCCTCTTCCGGTCAACCCCAGCACGTCACCAGAGGGTTTGGTCCCGGAAAGAAACCCAGAAGGTGAGGAGGAAGGAGCGCTGCCGCTGAACCTGCCCACGGAACAGAAACTGGTCGCTATTGCAGACTGGTTGATGGGGAATTTGAAAGCAAAACACGGCCCCCTCACTGACGATTTTTTTTTTATTATTATTTTTTTATTTTTTTATTTTTATTTTTGTTTAATTTGGACCATTCTCGATTTATGCGTGTCATCCTTGCGCAGGGGCCATGCTAATCTTCTCTGTATCGTTCCAATTTTAACGGATGTCCCGAAAACACGGCCCCCTCACTGACGATTTCTGGGATAAGACATACCTGGAATTATTCCCCATGCTCGACACGAGCACCTCGCTCAAAAAGGTACTGGAAAATGGTTTGCAATCTGGGGTGAGGTGGATGGAAGCATGGCACAGATTGGTGGCAATTGTGTTCGCACGATTTCAACCACCACATGCTGCAGCAACAAAAGAAGCAGAGCAGGACGGAGCCCGAGCCGCGACAGTGGATGAACAGGCCTTAAGGGACACAAGACCCCCCAGTGCTGCAGGAACCAGCCCCGCCGCCGGGCCTGGACCCTCTGGACTCGGATGAGATCACGCCACTGGACCTGGTGCGAAAAAGAAAGCTCAGACACCTGGTAGAGATCGGCCGCAATTCTGGGCCCCTGTCGCAGGAGGTCATGCTGCTCATCCCAGTTCGGAAGGAAAATGAGAAATGGGAGGTGGGCTTGTCTCCGGAGGGGAATGACAAACAGGGGAGTGCCACGTTACATTGTTGGTTGTCATTCTGGGCGGAGCCACAAAACAGCCAGTCTGAGGCAGCGGCAGAAATTCTGCAAATGCAACTAGAATCCCACATTGCAGAATCTTTACCGCCGGGGGCACAGGCTATGGCTTCGATCACAACAGGCCCCAGCAAAATAGCGCAGAGGATGTCTACATACATTTCGATCCAACCAAGGAGACAGGCCTGAGATGGCACACCCACGCCAAATTGCTGAACCTGCAAATGGTCAAGATCGGGCACAGCGACAACTGGTCTGAACAGGATGTCCAGAGATGTTTATGTGCTCTCTACTCAGACTGGACCAGGACTGGGACTGGCATCAGCTGCCATGGATTCGGCTGTACGATTTCAACCTGAGGCACTCTGATGATTATAATACGAGGGTAGTATGAACACCTCGAGTAAGATAGACCCGGTCAGAGCAGTGTACGGGAAGGACCGTATCTGGAACTAGTGCAGGAGAGCAGCAGACCTGGACTTCGGTCCTTGAATGTGAACGGCCTGGCCTCGTGCAAACCGGAGAAACAATATGCAGTCTGGGATTTAATGAGAGGAGTGGGGGGTAGGAACTGGCTGGATATAGTGTGCATCCAGGAAAACACACCTGATGGACACCCCGGAGCACAACCACACCCACAAAATGATCTGGCCATATAAGGCCTTAAGGGCCCATGTCCCAAAACCAGAAAGCGCAGGGGTGGCCATCTGGATTTCCACCGAGTCCCGGGCAGACCCAGTACACTGGGTGGTGGACCAGGAGGGAGGTCGATGGGTGTCTATCCTGGTTACGTTGGAACTCGAAATTGTATGTATACTGTGCATCTATGCCCCCAATACCGTGAGCTCTATTTAAGATGGGGGTTCTCTTCAATTTAAGATGGCGGTCCTAAGCAATTCAAAGATGGGAGTCCTTATCAATTTACGATGGGTTTCCAGACCTTTAAGATGGCCGGCACAGGCAGCCCAGCTAGGCAAGGGCCAGGAAAAGTCCCTGCCTCTGTCCGAAAAAAAAAAACTGGAAAATCTGAAAAAAAAAACTATGTTATGCAGAAAAATAAACTGAAGAACTTTTGCCTCAGGGTCACATCCAAATTCCGTACCAAATAGAGAATAAAAAATATTATTTAAAATAATAATATTATAATAATATATATCGTCACAAGGAATGACTGTGGTTCTTGGGGTTGTGGCAGTGATTGGGGGAAACCTGTTATGCTTTCAATTGATATTCTTTATTGTCATTTCATTGAGTTTTGCTCTATGTGTGACATACTTTCTATTGATGACATCCTGTATACTGTATTCGGCCGGGCAAGTGGGCCCGGGCCACTCTGGTAGCCTAGGTTTTTATCAATTTTCCTGTTTGTGTTTCATCATCAGAGGGTTAGTCCTACCGTCTTCACCCGAATAGTACGCCCGGTCATTATAGCTGTATTTGGCACAACTTTCGGTCCAGATGCAGCGATAATGACCGGGCGTTCTATTCAGGTGAAGACAGTAGGCATTGTATTGTCAAACAGCATCTACGTTGAAGTTGAGTCGAAGTCGAAGTTGAAGTTGACTTGTTTATGAAAGGAAGGCAAGCAGGACGGGGGTCTTGATGTCAATTTTGGATCCTGTATGCGGTGTGATCGTCCACTGGCAAGCAGGAGTGACTTCATTTCTCAATTCTTAATTGTGGCCGAAATTGTGGGATTAGAGACTCAGATGAAAGGATTGACGGCACGCAGATGCCTCAGTTCCGGTCCCAGGGTTCCAAAGTCCCGAAGTCCCAGAGTCCCAGAGTCCCAGAGATCTGGAGTCCCAGTTGCTCCCGGTAGTTCTCCCAGGGTCCATTAGTTAGGTCCTAGGTCGAATAGAGGCCTGGGACCCAAAAGTCGCAGTCTGGTAGGAAGTAGGGGTAGGTCTGATAGGCCAAGTCCCAAGTCCTGATTTTGCAGCGGCGGCCCAAGTCCAAACGAGGCCCGACTGGACCATGGAACACGCAGTCAACTGACAAGGCCGACGGTACCGGCCCAGACCAAGAACAAAGCAGTTAAGCTTTTGCTATTAAAAGCAACTGCAAAATAGCGACCCGGTGGTTGTACAGTTGTGACTTTGCGGAAGCGCTGCAAGCGACTTGTGTGATTGTATGATGGGCGATCGGAGCGCTGCTAGCGCTGCATTAGGGTTAGCATACGACACAGGGCGGCGCTTGATGAAGGAGGTTGGCGCATGTATTCAGGGTGACCTTAGTAGAAGTTGGTGAGAGGGGGGGAGGGAGTGAGGCGAACGATACAAGACTTGAGAGAGAGAGAGAGAGAACATCACAGAAGTGGGGAACAGGGAGTAGAGTAGGTCGGCTGTTACATACCTGAGTGAGTCAAGGTTGGCCGCCAGAGTGCGTAGCGGCCATTACCGCCTGTGTATCCCTACATTTATAGAAATCGCTAACGTGAGAAATCTGGTATCCGGGCCATCCACGGTCCTACCGGCCGACGACGGGGATCTTCACACGATCTTACGATTTGATGGGCGATCTGGGCCGTCGGCCTGGTACCAGTTGGGCAACGCCCAGGATTCGAAGTTAGGGCTGCCACGCCTGGGGAAAAACCAGTTCCAGGCCCAGGTCTGCTATTGGGTACCGTGTTTCGTCCCTTTTCCCACGGATATGTTTGGCGATGCAGGGTATAGTGAACGGGTGAGACCACACATACTCGCCCGCCCGCCCGCCCGCCCTCCCGCCCACCTGCCTGCGCAGACATGCATGCACATGCACGCACACACACGAATGCAACGTGGGCAGACGGTGGGGGTTCAACCTCCTGATGAGTTGGTGAAAGTCCAACGAAACAGTCTGGCACATTCATGCTTTTTTCTGGAATTCATACAAGTGCGCGCGCGCGCGCGCGCGCGCGAGAGAGAGAGAGAGAGAGAGAGAGAGAGAGAAGGATGGGGCCAGGGTTGGGGGAAGTAGGCGGGTGGGAGGGGTAAAGGCGCACCACGTGGCGTGATTTGTCTTCTTTTTTTATTTCCTTTTTTTGTGCGCAAGAAAAAGGCATCGGTGGCATGCCGCACACGCACACACGCACACACGCCCACACACACACACACACACACACACACACACACAGAGACAGAGACACAGAGAGAGAGAGAGAGAGAGAGAGAGAGAGAGAGAGAGAGAGAGAGTCTGCGTTGGACGGTTGCCTCCACCATTACTGCATCACCTGTCGTATTTGTTTTTGCGAGTGAAGCCGCAACAGGTCATCTAGTAAAAAGTTTACAAACTCATTCAGCGTACAAGTGATCTGATTTGCTTTCCTTTTGTTGTGAGTAAGTGTGAATCTTCACGATTCTTCAGTGAATGTTCTGCATGCTGCGCTGAGTTTGATTTGGATCCTGACAGGATCAATGCACAAACACCGAAATTGGAAAACCCCAGAGTTGGAATTGCATGGAGAAGGGACTTCATTTTCATTTCTCTATTATTCATGGGGGTACTGTGGGCATATGGAAATGCTGAGAGAGCCATCCGTACTTGGAAATTGCACCTACCAGTATGTGTTGGTCCTGTTGGGGGGGAGGAGGGGGGAGGGGGGAGGATGCTGGAGAAAAGGGAAGGATGAGGAATGAGGAAACAGAAATAAAATATTGCCAAAATGTCCTAAATTGAAGCAGGTCCTACTAAACCCAGCCCTTGTGGCTGGAGAGGTATAGACATGTAACTGTTAGTAAACAGATCCTGAGCTCAAATCCTGATGGAACCACACGATTGTTGTCATGTTAGGGGCCTTAGGGCCTACCCGCTTGAACAAAAACTGAGTAATGAAAGGAAGAAAAAGTGGATTCTAAGCATGACTGTGATGACTCCGTCAGCAAAGAATAAATGAGCCAGTTGACTGTGATTGTGGTCAGATGCAAGTAGAACTGAGCTACCTGGGTATCATCGAACACTGGCATCCCAAACCAGGCCATGCCACCCCCATAAAAAAAAAAGAAAAAAAAGAAGAAGAAGAAGAACAGGGACATCCGGATTGTCTGTATCGCTGTCCGTTGTTGGGATTATCATCACGGCTGCTTTATGTGACCTAACTCAGGCCGACTCTTGACGATGCTCTTCCCCTGCAGATGACTGACCGGGGCTGGTGTGAGAAGTTAGTGGATGTCGCGCAACAACCAAGGTACATTGCACGACCTTACCGATGCTGCATCATTTCTTTTTTTTTTTAATGTGGCCCGATGGACCACGGATCAGATATTAAACTGATCAGAACAGATACAATGCACTTGATCTTAGCCAAAAGCCCGAGAAAGGTATTGATGCTGCATCATTTCTTCCTTTCTCTTTTTTTTATTTTTTATTTTTTATTTTAATCCTTCACCGTGCAGGGGCCGTGCTGACGGATCTTCTCTTTTCTTTTTTTTATCCTTCACTGTGCTTGGGCCGCGGGCTGTGGGCCGTTACTTTTGGTCAACGACCCGAAACGGGGGTCAAAAGGTCACGCCCAAGTCATGAAAACGCCTCTGCCCAAAGGCCTACCACTGTGGGGTACCTCAGGCAAGGGCCAAAAACGCGGCCTCCCGAGGCCCAGCGTGAGAGAGTTGACTTGGGGAAAGTCAACAGTCAAATTCAACTCGTGAATTCAGGCCCACGAGTGAAAGTCAACATGTACCCAGCCTTGGCCACAGACCAGACACATACCTTTGGTTGTCTGCAGGTATCCGGAAGGAATCGAGTCCAAATGGGAATCTGCAACTGTATGAGATCCAGGCCATTGACTTACGAACGATCTGGATTTTGGGCCATCGCAGCTGTGAGACAAGAGGCTGGTCAACAGAGTCAACACTATAAGTTGAGCCAGCCCGTGCTCGTGGAAATTCAGTCTGGCACGTGCTACGTGACGCTGGCTTGACGCTGGCACTACGCTGGATTGACACTGATGCGACGATGCAGGACTGCTACTGCTTTCGTGCTGGCGCCTTCTCTGTCTACGGCGCCAGCTGGACACTTGATTAAGCTGACGAAGCTCGCGCCACATTGATTACGACATTGATGGAGTACCGGCGAGGAGGAGGAGGATCAGGTATGTGAGACTGGTCGAATGTGGAAGGGAAAGCTTACCTGATCGTGTTCGTGTCGACATTGCGCATGGCTGTGCGTCTTCAGGAGGAATATGCGCCATCCTCTCTCGCTGCCGCTGACGTGGCTGGGGGATGGGCGCCATGCTGTAATTTCAGGGGAGACTGTTCGCTGACGAGGCAAGTGGGGAGGTGCCCGAAGAGGAAGTGGGCTTGCGAGGGAAGATCTGTCTGCAAAGATGATGGGTACTTTCGCTTCCACCCTCTAAGTCATATCTCCCTCTCCTCATCTTCTTCTCTGGTATGTACGAATTTTGGAGACATTGATTCTGCGCTGGAACATTTTGTACTTCGACATTGACGAGCTGTCCACTTGACTGGGTTCATTGCAGGACACTCCCTTTCTCGTTCTTCGTCTTGTTTTCCAGAAGGAAAAACAGATGTACCCTCAGCCTTTCTTTTTTTTCCCCCTCAGACATTATGTGACAGGAGTGGCTCCGTATGCACTTGAATGACAGCTCACTCATGCGCTTGACAACCCTCTGAGTGAGATCATTCAGAGCATGAGTGGGCTATTGAGAGACTTGACTCTCGAGGCTGAGGGCGCCGGTCCGAATCCGTGCGTGCACGGAGGAGGTTCAAGGGTGGAAATAGTACTGAGTCTACTGAGTGTACACAAGCGCAGTAACCAGCCTGAGCTCACTTCACTCAGAGCATGAGCGGGCTATTAAACCACCACTACCTCCGAGCCTCTTTTTGCCAAGGTGGAGTCAAACTGCACGCCAAGCTTTGCCGAAGCGCCAGCGGCGCACTGTTTCTTTCGCTTTGGCTGGCGCTGTCAGCCGGTTCGGTCCAGCGGCGCCCGGCCTCCGAAGAATGTGGAGTAGGTTACTTTTACGACTTAGTGTCGTGATGGTTTAAGAGACTCGGCAGTTGAGGCTGAGGGCGCCGGTTCAAATCCGTGTGTGCACAAGCTCGGTAACCAGCCGCAGCTCACTCAGAGCATGAGCGGGCTATTGAAAGACTCGGCGCTTGAGGCTGAGGGCACAGGTTCGAATCCGTGCATGCACGGAGGAGGTCCAAGGCTGGAAATAGTACTGACTGTACACAAGCGCAGTAACCAGCCTGGAAATTGCTCCAGGAATTTGATGGCTGTGTTGGGGGTTGGGCCCCCACAGTGTGAAAATGTGGATATTGTGGGTGGGGCTGTGTGCCCTCGTGGCGTGAGGTCATGTGCTTGATGGAGCTACCGTGATGTATGGTGTGCCAACCGCCGTTTTGTGATCTCAAACATTTTCCTTGGACTTCGAATGGGACACTTCCTCCGCCTGGTTGTCAGCAGGCGGTGGTCCCCACGGTGATGAAGTTTTCCCAACCCTTGTCTCAACCGCGTCCCAGAGGCTTCATGAGATGACGAAGCACTTCCCCAATCCTCCTCGTGGTGATGCAAGAGGAGTTTTTTCTCTTCTTCTCCCCCCCCCCCCCCCCCGCTAAGAAGGTAAGGTCAACCTGTGTTCCGTTTGTGTGATCTTCATTGCAAATGGAACAACCAGGATTGTTCTGTGCTGTTCTTTGCTCTGTGCAGCCTGCAGCCACTCTGCCAAGTCTGCTCCAGTTGCGTAGATGAATGCAAAATCCCTGCGCTCGAAAACAAGGAGCTGCAACCAAGCCCATGCGGCTGAACGGTACGCAAATGTTACTCTCAGTGAATACTGAATACTGAACAGATCATGCGCTCAAATCCTGATAGAATCAGATGAGTATGACTATGTCAGGGGCTTCCCCTTCCTCGAAGAAGAAAAAGAAAAAGAAAAAGAGTTGCAGCGGTTGTGATTACGACCGACCTGATGAGAACTGCTTTTCCGTTTTTCCTGGTGTCTCCTTCCCCTCCTCCTCCTCCTCCTCTCTCTCGCTCTCATCGTCCCGTTCCTCCTCATTCTCCATTTGTCCCTCCTCGTTCTGCATTCATCGTCTTGTCCTCTTCTCCTGTCACACTTCTCCCTTGTTGTTACTGTCCTCCTCCGCTCCCCCAACCTCTCCATGCCACACCCCCTCTCCTGATCCACAAAGGCTTGCACGGTCACATTTCTCTTCCCATACGTCATACCGCCTTCACCAGAACAGAATGCCCGGTCATTATCGCTGTATGTAGACCAAAGTTTTGCCCCAAATATAGCTATAATGATCTGGCTTTCTATTCAGGTGAAGACGGTAGTCATCATTCTGGAATCTGAATGTGCTGTGTACATTGGTGGGTTGATCGGTGGGATATCTGAATGTACGTGCAGAGACCAGGAGTTTCGCTGTGTCCTCTCGCCACACCCAACTCCAGCTGTTAGCCTTTACCTGAAAAGGCGGTTGATGTTGATGAGCCCTGAGGAGAGGCGGCATCACAAGCAGATGGAAGTTTGTCCTGCTGGGATGAAGCTTGCTGTGGATCTCGCAAAGAGGGTGGGGGAGGACGGAGGGGCCGCACTCATCATTGACTACGGAGAAGACCATGCCATGGCAGACACTTTGCAGGTAACAGATTTATGCTTTTTTTAAAGTTTTTTAAGTTTTTTGTTTTTCGTTTTTTTTTGTTTTTGAAAACAGAACCTTATGGTTCTGGCGGCATATCCATTCTGGGGAGCAGCAGTCCAGTTCCTATTCCATCGGCAAGTCAAGGGAAATACATCACAGTCTCACACGTAGAATTTTGGTAAATTTATGTGACTTTAACAAATCCCCAGACTTTTTTTTTGTTTTTGTTTTTTGTTTTTTTTTGTTTTTAAACAGGGCCTTATGGTCCTGGCGCCTTCTATTCTGGGGAGCGTCAGTCCGGTTCCTATTCCACCGGCAAGTCAGAAAATGCATTACATTACAGCAGAAACTCGCGCTTCCTCCCGTTTGGCCGAAGGACCCCTGAACAGCATTGATTACTCCACCGTTGGTGGAGGATTGACTGTCAGCTTGCCATTACTCACTCTTTCCTCTCAGACCTGAAAAACCAGCTCTGCCAGATAGTGCTATGTCACCTAGAAAAAGCTCGCCCATTATTTCTGCTTGCCTGTGCTTTCCCCCTCATCAGCCCTATCCCATTAAGCCTTCCCCCTTCTTTTGAACGCTACAAAAACCTAAACCCTAACCCCTCAGCCAGCGGACCTCACTGTCCCTTCTGGGCTGGGATTTAGGACTGTGTATCTGTTTACTTTGAGTGATATGGGAGCCTGTCTTCCTTGTATCCTTACTCTAACATCCTCTGAGTCAACCTTTCCTCCCTTGCTCCAGCCTTCCGGTGGCGTACATCCATTCCCAGGCTGTTCCTCAACGGACGTGATGGTATAGGTTCGTCGTTTTCTCTTTGGGATTCTGATAAGGAGGTGCCTTGCCCGTGCGCATCTATCTGCTGCCGAACGCTTCTTCCTGAGTTTGAGTTGTGCCAGTCCTTCCAGCAGATGCGGTCGTCTCGTAAATCAGCAACTTTCTCGTTTATCAACCATACCCTGCTGAATCTCAGTCTCGCTTTTTTTTGTTGTTCCTCATCCTCCGACCATGATAGTTTGATTTTCCGCCATCTGCAAAGGATTTCAGCCTGTATCATTGTTTTCGTCTCCGCCCAGATCATCTCTCGTGAGTTGGACACTCTTTCGATCGTTCTGCTGCATCTTTCCTTCCATATGACCCATAGGGTCACCTTCCTGATAAGTCCATACCAAWTYTTTTCCSCTKTCCGGAGCTGCTCAGGGATGTTAGTCMGAAGGAGAAGTTGGWTGGGTTGTTCAGGGAAAGGGGTYGGGAAAAGGGAGTCCYAGAGGGTCGAGGCTCTCRCCCAGTAATCTGTCGCCTCCCTACAGTGTACTAAGYRGTGTACTATGTCCTCTACTGCACCCTCCGTACATACCTTACATTGATCAGAACTGTCGGGGTCTGAACTCTTCCGCCTAACGTGTAACCACTGATTAACTGGTAGTGCCGCGTATATGATCARCCATTGAAGGCTTYTGATTTTGATTGGTCTGATCGTTTTATAAATCTTCCATGGGATCTGTGTGATGTTGTCGGCTTCCTGACCTATTAGCTTCTGCCACCTGGCCTTGATCGCCGGTTCTGGGTCTTTTGTTTTTAGCAGTAGCTTGTACCCAAATTTGACCGTGTGATCCTGTATGGGGGTGAGCGTCTTAATGTTTGTCCTCTTTTCTGGTTTCCATGCCCACTCCATTGGGTCAAACTCCTGGTTGTGTAATGCCGTATCGAATCTGAAGATAAACTTCGGCCATGTGCCTAACACCCTTACTTTTCTGAGCAAGAAGTAATCCATGACTATCGTTTCCACGTTGGTGTTCATAATCGACGGCATTCCCTTCGTGGAATGTGCAATCGGAAGGGAGGTGAACACCGCTTGAGTAGCTGATCCCCGTTGTAGGTGTGAGAATTGGAAGGCCTTAGAGGGAGGATTCTCCTGTACTTTGACCCCGCATTCTCCGCTTTTCCAAGGCCCCCCTTGTTTCAGCATATCTTTCCACTCCTGAGGGACAAGATTAGTAATGTACTGCAGGTTAGGTCCTCTTCTATGACAACCCTTCAATCGTGCACTTAGCTCCTGCTCAGACACCCATTCTTCGTTCCACAAGTGGCTAATTGTCCAAACTCCATTCTTTGCCCATGACAGCCATTTGTGGTCTAAGAACAAGGGTTCATCACTTTCGCCCTTCAACCACTCATTGCCAAACAGAGGCTGTCTCAGCACCTCATCCTTAGATTTCGGTCTATTAATCGTTTTTGGCATTATTTCCCTCCAAATCCGGATTAGAGCCGCCCAGTACGGCGTTTGGCGGTTGTCTATGTTCCGCTCTATTTCCCTCCTAGATCTTCTCCTCACCTTTTTCAAAGACCATTCCTTATTCAATACCCAGAATAGACCCGTCATGTTATTTGGCGATGACACCGGGGCTAGGGCCCTTATGCTGTCCAGGGCCAGCTTATTCCATGCTGTTTCGGGTTTCGTCAACAGACGGACTATCCATTTGACTTGAAGGGCTCTCGTCTCGCACCTCGGGTCAATGATTCCTAGCCCCCCGTGTATTGGTTTTCTTGAGATGTACTGCCATGCTATCTTTGGGATACAACCTTCGTTGTTGGGGTTGCCCGTCCATAGATATGTTCTAGCCACTCGATTTAGTTCCTTTAATGAGTCATCCGGAATTGTCCATGCCGACGCAATGTACCACATCATGGAGAAGACTGAAGTGTTGAGTACCAGGACCCTACCTATCAGTGAGGTGAATGTATTCCCCCATCTTCCCAGCTCATTTAACTGCTTGGCTAACACGTTCTGGGCCATCTGGGGCGCCAGACCCTCCCGTGTCATGAGAATACCTAGGTATCGGGTGGGGGGTTCCGACGTGTCCCAGGACATGGCAGCCTCAGGCCCTTGCAGGTTTGGGATTTGTTCGTCAGACAGCCACCAACCTATGGTCTTCTTCCAATTGATCTTCATTTCTGATGCTAGTCTGAACGCTTCCATTGCCCTGGACAATGCTTTAAAAGACGAATCTGATGCTCTAATCAACACTGTCATGTCGTCTGCGAACAAGATTACTGTCGGAAACTTGAGATTGACCTCTGGGAGTCTGTGTATAGAGGGGTCTTTCCGTAGGAAAGAGGCAATGGCCTCCATCACAAATAGGAAGATCGAGGGAGCGAGCGGGTCCCCTTGCCTGACTGAGCGTGATATTGGGTAGCAATCAGACAGGAATCCGTTAATCTGTACACAGCTTGAGGCATCATTGTACAAGACTTGGACCCATTTCCTAAAGATTGGTCGCACCCCCATGCGTTCCATACTTGCGTACATAAAGGGCCAATTGACTTGATCATAAGCTTTCTCGAAATCAAACAAGAGTATGGTTGTGTTTATCCTCCTTTCTCTGATTTTATTGGCTGCTTCATTTAGAGTCAGCACATTGTCTAATATGTAGCATCCTAGGATAAAGCCCATCTGATCGATATGAAAACATTTATTTGTTATTTTCATGATTCTGGCAGCCAGGGTCTTGGCAAGGATTTTGTATGGGAGAGTTAGTAACGAAATAGGTCTATAGTTCTTGATGTCCTCCTTGTCCCCCTTTTTATATAGTAGTGTAACAACACTCATGCTCTTAAGGGCTTGCAGAAGCTCATCCAATGATAGGGGCTTGTCCAACTCTTCTGCTTGTTCTGCCGATATCGTTTGTTCCAAATATTGTAACATTCTTTGTCTTGCTTCCAATGTGCTGCTTGGGGTAGGTGTTTGGGTCTTGGTCTGATATAATTCTTGGTAGAATTCTTTAGCAATTCCCATAATCACTTCACTAGTTTCCGTCGTCACTTCCGGGTTGCTGAGGGTTTTCAGTTTCTCTATTGTGGCTGCTTTTGTATTCGCCTTGATTTGGGCAAAGAAGTGCTTCGACATCGATTCGTTGAGTTCATATTCACACATTCTGGCTCTTACTTGCAGACCTTTTAGCTCCCACCACTTCCACATAGCCAACTCTTCCCGTGCTTTCTCAACTATGCCTGCATATAGTGCTGAGGACGGGTTGTCCCTCAGGTTGTATTCCGCTATCTTCAACGCCTTCTCCAGGCTTTGCTTCCTCTGCTTCCTTATAGAGGTCAGTTTTCTTGACATGCCGGCTGCTGCCTTCACGAGTAAAGAGTAGCTCTCTATGAACCACTCCCACCGGTCATGGGCAGGTAGGCGGCTCATACACCTCTCGCTCCAATATTCTTGTATCCCTTCTTGGAAAGTTTGACCAAGCAAGAGGGAATTGTTCAATTTGTGAAAGTTAGCCCCTTTCCTTACTCGTTGCTCAAAGCAGATAGTGAGCTCGATGGTTTTGTGGTCCAGTCCTGGGTAGGGTGATAAGGGCAGGATCTCCGCCTCTTTCACCGCCCCCATCATTGTACCTGATACCAGGAAATAGTCTATCCACGAGAAGGTTGTGTGATGCACATGGTTCTTCTTGACCAGTGAGAAAGCTCTCGACGTGGGGTGGAAAATTCTAAAGGGATCTAGTAGGCCATGATCTACCATCAACCTCTGGACAGGTAAGGCCTCTTGTGAGTTGTATGTGTTGGAAGATCTGGATATGCGGTCTGATACCGGGTCTAGGGTTGCATTCTAGTCACCCGCCACTATGCACGACGTCAGAGATGGGATCCTGGTCCCCATCTCTAACAGAAAGGATGTTCTTTCAAATGTGTTATTTGGGGCATAGATGTTGAGAAAAAAGAACTCGTTGTCCTTCCACTTAAGATGCATAGAACACCATCTGCCCTCATTGAGGTCCGCTTCCTTGTTTAGAACACTTCCTGCCACTTAAAAACGTGAGGAGTTGGGGATCAAGATTGTTGTGCCCTTCGTACTCGAGACGTTATCTGCCGCCCATATTTCATCTTTGATGCCTCCCAGCTTCCTTGTCACGAATTTTTTGATTCTGTTGTGTTCTGTCGAAAATGATAGATGGGTTTTTTGCAGCATTATCACGTCAGCTGGTGTTTTGTTTTTAACTGTTAATCCTTGGGCTATGTCATTCCATTTTTCTTCTTTATCTATGACATTTGCCAATCCATTCACGTTCCAACACCGAATGATGATCCCTTGATCTTTCCAGTCCCTATGGCGCTCCCTCGTGTTTGCCATCTTCTTGAACCCCTCCATCCTCCAGGTACTACCGGGCTAGATCAGGTTAGCATCGTCCCAAGGAACAGCCTACGAAGGCGCACTCCCCCCCCTGTCCATATCCAACGGCCCCTCCCCTTCTTGGGAACCTGTCGTGGACTGTCCTAAGCTTGTCATCCTATCCATATCCTGTCGGGAGACCTCAAACAAGTCTTCGCCGTCATCATTGTTTGAGACTATCCCACCCACCTGGTCCTCTTCTTCCTTCTCGTCATCCGAATGCCATTCCAGCGCCTCGTCGTCAGATCCGTCACTCCTGTAAAACCTGTCCCAATCCACCGGGTATGCTCTCGCATCCAGGTCTCCATCACCCTCCAACATTCCTGGAGCAACCAGCAGAGCCAATGAGACTGCAGGCAGCTCTGCCGGCAGACTCGAGCCCGCTAAGACACTATATGGCACTGCTGTGACCGTCCTCCAGGGTCTCCATTTCATCCCTGATCTCAACTTTGTCGTGTTCGACAGCTTGACGATCAGCGGTGAGAAGGCTTGAGGTGAATGTCTTCCTTGTTCTGAGTGCTGCGAAGCTGAACCCTCGTGCTCTGGTTGGGGATATGCGTCCTCCTGATCGGAGTTGCATGGCATGGAGTCGTACACCCCCAATGGGTACTCCGTGGATATCTTTTCGCGGAGTGTGGCAGCCACGTTTTGCCCTTCCTCAAAACACAGGATCTGGAACGACACATCTGTTGCAATCTGCCACTCCTCAAATTTTTCCACATACCTTGCAACAATCAATGGGCGAATATTCATCAGTGTCAATCTTGACGACCTGGCAGTCTCCACCACCAGAGGAGCCTGGTCCTTGGCTATGTGTGTGATCGTTGTGAATTCTGTTGAGTATTCCTCGTTCAGTTTTTTCAGCTTGTCCGTTTGTGCAATTACCATTGCCGCTTCCTTTTCCAGCTGTGTGCGCGCTGGGTCATCCTCAGCGTCCATCTAAGACATATCCGGATTCTTCTTCTTCTGATTTTTCCCTGACCTCCATTTCTTAGGGCGCAGATCTTGGAAGTCGTCCTTAGACTCTGGAACAGTTCTATCTCTGTCCTTCACCCCCTGTTCCTTGCTCTCTTCTTTTCAGCATATCTGAATATTGTGTATTCTGATAATTCTTCCGCCTTAACCTTCCTGAGGACGTCAAATTGGTTATTAGGTTTCCTTGATTCCCCCAACCCCTTCTTACCACTTCTCTGAGATCTTTCTGCATGCTTGAGACAAGCTGCAGGCATATCAAAAGCATGCTCCCTCTCCCTCTTCACCTTCTCCACATAATCCCTGAGCCACTGCAGAGACCTGTGAAGATCCTCCTCACTATCTGTCACTGTGTTGTCCCCTTCGCCTTTGCTCCCCTCTCTTGTTTTCTCGGACCCTGTTCCTCTCGAATCTGTTCTCATTTCCTCTCCTTCCTTGTCTGCAGGAAGGCTTACCACCTCCTCTTTCCTGTCCGCATCCACTGCCTTCCGCCTCTTTGGCCCCTCTTCCTGGATCCCTTGTGTCTTTCCATTTTCCATCGTCCTTTTGTTCTCTGCTTGAGCCCCTGTTCTGGTTTGAACTGTTGTTTGTTCCATCTTTGTCAGCATGCTTCTGAAACTCGTCGACTCCTTGCTAAATTCCAGTATTGCTTGTTCTCTTACTGCTTCCAGATCCCATAGCAAGTCTTCTCTGTCTTTCTCTTCCTTTCTCTGTCTTTCTCTTCCTTGATAACCCATGAATCAATCAGTGGGTCAGTGGTGATTTTCGACGGGTTGCCCGATACTTTCCCTGTGGCTCTTTTTTGCCATCTGCTGTCAGCCGGGGGGAAGACGTTGTTTTTTTTTACTACCGGCTCCTGGTCGGCATAATGCCAGACCCAGTCCGGATCCTCCAAGTTGTCGTCAAACACCCACCCGTTGTAGTTGCTGTCCGGAATGAACCATATTCCCAGGGCATCCTCCACCTCTACTAACATGTTATGGAGGAGTTTTCGTTCCTTCGGTTGATTCGGGTATTTGGGGCAGTTCGGGTCTGTTCCCATGTGTCCCCTTTCTCTGCAGCGAAAGCAGATCGTGGAGGATTTGGTCGACGCTTTGACTTCTACCAATCTGCTTTCAATCTGAAATTTCCAGGTGTGTGGGAAGACCGGGGGGTTGTCCGTCTTCACCTCAAGCACTGCCGTCATGGATCCGCAGTGTGGAGCCAGAAAATCCGATGTAGGGAGTACCCATTTTAGTATCGTATTCGCTGGGTATTGCCTTTCCAATCGGTCCACCAGCAAACCGTGCAGACCCGGTTGCACATTGTCAAATTGCTCCCTGAAGTTTTCTTTTAACAGTGTCTGTTTGTACGAGACTGCGAATACCTGGTTCTGTCTCTGGGAAGACAGTTTTTTCCATTTGTTGATCGTGCACACAAAGTCGTGGCAGTTCCTGGACTGTAACTCTGCCACCGCTTTTGCATGTTCCTCTCGTATAAACAGTGCCATGATGTTGTTCCGACCCAGAATCGTTTCAGTTCTTTCTTGATTACTTATATAATCCATTCCCTTTTCTCGGGTGGTTGAAGGTTTGCTCCATTCCGTGCAAAATTGAAGACCACGCCATGCCTTTCGTGTAAGTCATCCAATTCTGCCACCTTTTCTTCTGGATACTTCCAACTAATAATCTCTTCTTCTTTGCCTTCCACCTTTTGGATTTCTGTGATTTGTTCCCCTTACACTTTGGTTTTCTCTATCAGGAATTTGAGTGCTTCATTGTTGATGGCATTGCTGCATTTTCCCCCAGTACCTTGACTAAGCGTGGCCGTGTTTTGGAGTGGGGATGCCATTCTTATGGCTGGTCGAAATCAGACCTGCCCTGTATTCTATCCTCTATCCTTTCCGTTCGCTTCTGGTTCTAGTGAGAGCCTCGGTTGAAGACTGGGGGTGGACAATCCCACAGGCCCAGGAAAGGAGAAGTCGGCATAGGACCGCGATCAGAACGAACAGGAGACAGGATGAGAATGGGGGTCGGAATCGGGATGGAGTAGGGATCGGGATCGGGATAGGTATGGGGGACAGGATCAGAGATTGGGATAAAACACCTTGGGACACGCTGGGTGGGATGGCGTCGGATCGAGGTCGGGGTGGGATGGGATGCCGTCGG